ACAGCAGTCGCATTTTCACAACCAAAACCTTTCCTAGAATCTGGGAGTATGTTAATGTCTGCCAATTCGCTGGAAAATGGACACAACTCTGTAGTTACATGGGATTTGAAGGAGACAGGTCTCAACTGATTTATGGAAGCAAATTGCGCTCTTCAGAGAGGTGACAGCAGTGGTATTTGTTAGTCATCAGCAAAGCAGAATTTCTTAATTCGATATGCACGTCAGAAAATGCGAACTTTAGAGCCAGAATAGGAATATGTCGAGATGAAATATATAGAGAGAGCAGCTCTACCATAGTGGATTTTGCTTACTGGATCAGCATCAGCTGATTCATGTGATGTTCTTGATACATCATCCCTTGGAAGCCAGACTGTCCAGTTCCTACTTGGAATTCAAATTACGGTTAGCTCAGTTAAAGAAATAAAATCATAGAATATGTTAGGCTAGAAGGGACCTTTAAAGGTCATCTAGTCCAGCTCCCCTGCAGTGAGCAGGGACATCTTTAACTAGATGAGGTTGCTCAGAGCCCTGTCAAGCCTGACCTTGACTGTCTCCAGGGAAGGAGCTTCCACCACTTCTCTGGGCAATCTGTTCCAGTGTCTCACCACCCTCATAGTAAAGAACTTCTTCCTAATGTTTAACCTAAATCTGCCCAGCTCTGGTTTAAAACCATTGTCCCTTGTCCTGTTGCTACACGCCCTTGTAAACAGCCCCTAACCAGCTTTCCTGTAGGCCCCCTTCAGGTTCTGGAATCATAGAATCATAGAATGGCCTAGGCTGGAAGGGACCTTAGAGATCATCTAGTCCAACCTCCCTGTCATGGGCAGGGACGCCTCTCAACTAGATCAGGCTACTCAAGGCTCTGTCCAACTTGGCCTTGAACACCTCCAGGGAGGGGGCAGCCACAACATCTCTGGGCAATTTATTCCAAAGTCTTGCCACCCTCATACTGAAGAATTTATTCCTAAAATCTAATCTAAATCTATTCTCCTTCAACCTAAACCCATTTCCCCTTGTCCTGTCAGTGGATGCTCTTGTAAAAAGTCCCTCCCCAGCTATTGAACTAATACCAACATTGCTTGTATGATAAAAGCATGCAGAAATAAACCCTTCAGATATAAAGGCCATTCAATGAAGGCTCCAGATTAGGAAAGCAGACACATTAGACACAGCTTTGAGATATTTGGAAGTAGCTGCTGGAGAAATAATTTTCTGCAAGGGGAGCTTTCTGAGGGTGTGTGTTGGTCCCGGACGTGTGTGCCCATCAAGAAAAGGGCCTTTTGTTGTATTAATGAGACCTTGCCTCAGCAGTGCTGAGACCACTGCCCTCCAGTTAATGGTCACTTGGGAGCCACTGCACCGTGACAATCTTTGCATTTAGGTACCCATTCTACAGGCTGATAGTATTGTGCATAATTGGCACTATGCGTCGCTAGTTTTTTGTTTCCTTGCTTCCAAATTTGAGAAAGTTACCAGAGGGAAGATAAAACTTTCTTGCTAGTCATCTGAAAAGTCAGGTTTATGGGGTTTTTTTTTAGCGCATCCCTTGCAAACGCTTCTTTCACTAAGTCTGAGCGTGGTTTTCTTAATAGCTTGGGTTTAATTTTGCGCATGTTGCACATGACCATGTTAACACATCAATAACACACGAGATTTATTCACTAGTATTAAATGCATGATGTTGAATTGGAAAGCAATGAGTTGTGAAGATGTCTATATCAAAACATCAGAAGCAGTTAAGACCTAAACAGTAGGAGAACAGTGCTAGTATATGTAAGATTTTTCTTTCAATACAATTTCACAGGAGACACTCTAGAGCATACCTAATTCCGGACATAATTTAGGTCATAAATAATCTGACTACTACTGCAAAAGAAAGGTAGCAATCATGAGACCACATCCAAGTTCTAGAGAACCCAGCTTCAGAGATGTGCTTTTCTGCCATTACAGTATATACAGTGCTGTAGATATATAATTCATCTTCTAGGACACAATTATCAGGCTTCAGGATACAACTTCAATGCCTATGAATGGAGGAGTCCTAAACAGAGCAGTTTGTCCCCTCCAAGCAAACCACGAAACCACCCATTCCATGATACAGGGCTGAGTGATGAAGAATGGGACCGACCTACAGCAAGCAGGTAAGTTCCCACATGAGTTTCTGGTTTCTGATTTGCAGTGGCAGCAGTGCCTCAGAAATGAACGCTTGGTGTCTTGGAATGAAATTGTATTTCTAATGCCGCTCTAACAGCCCTCCCTTTAAATGAGATACAGCGTTTATACTTCATGAAACTTAGTAATGTAGATTAATAACATTTATGGAAGATTATGATGCCAAAACCAAGACATTTATTTATTTTGAGTTACTTCAGACAAAAAAAGCCACAGTGTTTATCTCTTAAGAATAAACAAACCAAAAAAATTAGGGATTCCCTTGGGTAAGCTTCAGAAAATATGTGCTCTGGTTTCCATTCCACAAAAATAAACCTAATAGAGACAACTGGACTGTTAATCTTCTGTCTTCCATGAAAATTCTTCAAGAAGCAGAAATTACAATCTTCTTCCAGAAGTGCTTGAAACATTTGCAGTGATTCAATTAGAACAAAGTGATCCAGGTAGAAATGTCTTGTCCACAGCTGTGGTAGTTTACCATGCGTTTATTCCTTTTCTTCTGAAACATAAATATCCTTTTCAATTAATTTCACTGCAGGCAGAAGAACTTCCTGAGGGAAAAATGCTTAGCTGACAATGCTTGGAGATAGTGAAAGACCCAGAAGTCTCTTATTCTCTATTCTAAGGATGATCTGGCAGTGGAACCACTGCAGAGACTTGGGTAATTCCTGGCAAAGAACAGTTCTTGCTCAGACAAGGGAAGATGTGCATCACAGTTAAAAAGATTTCTGTGCTCTTTGTAGCCATCCTCAGGACCTGCAGACATGCTTGTCCTTCATGACAAATACAGTTTCTTGGTGTAGCAGCACAATGAGCATGAAATACTAGTCTGTGAGAAATTCAAGTTTAGTACTAAAGAATACTTTTCTGGTTCCTGTATAAACACATTGTATAAGTAAATCCATAAAGTCCAGTCTGTTACCTTTGAAATACAAATCAAGGCAAAGCTTAGATGCCAGTGCTGCTTTTCAGATTCTAGATGACAAATCCTCTGATACAGCAGATTGCGTGGTGGCATTTTGTCTGGAGACAGGTCTGGCAAGATGATAACAAAGATCTGGAAAGTGTGAACTCTCAGTTCCCCCAGCTCTTTCGGTCCCTACTTGCCAGAAGCATACTAGAAGCTAGTAGTGGATAATATTTAATAAAGGAAATTACCATAGTTTTCTTCATACCTCCCATTCTTTGCAAGTTAATATTTTTAATTCAATAGCAGCATCTTTATCACAGTTAAAGGCCAGATTTTGTTTCTCAGATGAGATGCAGCCTTAAATTCCAGAACACCTACTGTTTTGCAGTTACGTAAGTAATGGACTGAAAAAGTTGATGAGAAGTGAACCAGGAAGCTGGATTGGAAAATACCGAATCTTCTAAATGAAAAGCGTGTGTTCTGCTACCATTTACAGATTCTTATTCTACTTATCAGTGTGACTTATACCTGAGATATATGACACAAATTAAAATTATGATTATTTTAACCTTGTATCTGTAAAATATACCACACCTGATGGTGTTCCTATACCATGTGCTGGAGTATTTGAGAAGGGTGTGTCTGTTCTTCCAGCCTGTTACATGAGTCCCCAGAAAAGCCTAATGAACTTACCTTCTTCTCTAATACTAAAAAGTATTTTTCTCTTACCTTTATTTTGTGTAGCACAGCTTCCAAGAATATGTGGCAACAGAAGGAGACTGAGATGTTGGGAGAGAACCAAGAAAACCATTTAAAGCAAACTTCTGTAGAGAGATCAGGGGGAGAGAGCATCAGGAACATGAAGAAAGAGGGCAAGATGTGGAAAGGTGCCTCTGGTGGGCAAAGGAAAGGTGGGGGACAGCTGGAAGAGTGGAATACTCCCAGGTAGGAAACAAGGAGTATACTCCAGTGAGATCCAGTGGACTTAAGGTGGGAGGCAGGGGAGTGGGGAGGGTCGGGGATTTGGAGGGGCAAGAAAAACAGTTGAAGTGAGAAAAAGGAGAAAAACAGGGTAAAAGCAGAAAACGCGTCATTAACATGCTGTTGAGTAACAATGAAATTGCAATTAGAAAGCAAATGAAACCAGAGCTTAAGCCACTCTGTAGCCTGGTGTCTACCTATCACTGTTTCTTGTAGTTCCTGCTCCAGGGAAAATTTTTTGCCCATTAAAACAATACTTAAAGAAATGAGTCTGTCAGGTCCTAGAACATCCTGTCACCTCCTGAATTTAAAAAAAAAAATGTTTCTTCATACCTGTCCTACTACCTCCCCCTCAGCATTTTTATGCATCTAAATTTCTAATGGCTCTTTGAATAAGCATCAGAAAACCAAATGTATTCATTATAGGTCAAACAATATTTCACATGACATAAAATCAATCTCTCAGGTTTCAGGAGAAAAAAAAAAGCCATCTAGATGAGAAATATTTTGGTACCTCTTTTTTTCTGGTTCATGAGCTCAGCTACAAACCAGTTTACTTGCATGGCTGTATTGGAGATGCAGAAGATGAGCATTTCACACACGAGGAGACAAGGCTCAGAGGAAAGGCAAAAGAGGAGGTGAGGGCAGAAAACGAAATTGCTTCAGCTGAAAAGAAGTCCGCATGTGTAGACACCATGATTTCAGATTTCACAGAAGTCAGAGAAGAAGTGGACCTCCAGTTCTAGGAAATCCCATCCTCGATGTCACAGACAGTTGCTTCAGATAATCCTGTTGATTAACTCAAGTTCTATTTTTTATTATAGTATTAGTATGCAATATAAAGAAAGGTATTGTAGTGGATAAGTTAGTCTATGTTCAGCATTGGCTATTAAAACAACTGGTTAGGTTTATTGAAAGAGCTAATTTCAGCAGTTGAGGATCTTTCTAAAATCATGTTTTAAATACTTTCTTATCTTGCCTGGGAGGAATTGCACCTGTGACCTGAGTAGGTATTCTCACCCTTGCTGTGTATCTACTGCAATATCTCAGAAGAGACACTGATGCTAGATGGAGAATCATTGCAATAAGAGATTGAACTGGCTGACCGTTGTCTGCTTGACTGATCGTATCTGTAAGAAAGCATCTCTGAGGCGAAGTATCATGTGTGTGGAACATTCAGGCTGTCGTCCGTTGTGCTGGGCAATTCTCCTGTTTAAAAGCTATTCTGTTAACAGCGTTATACATTCATGCTGCTCTCAGTAATACATTGGTTGTCAAGCCAGGCCTCAGATGCTTCCCTAATAGCATTTGCTCTGTTTATGTGCTTTTAAGCACCATGAGCTGCACTCCATGGGCAGGTGCTCCAAAGTAACAGCTTGCTGCCACCCAAAGGGCGAATTCTCATTCTTTCCTTCCTCATCCTTCCCCTGTGCCTCTCACATAAATCAGCCCTCTCCCGTGCAGTGGTGCTGACGCTTGTATGAACCTTTGTTGAGCTGATTCTCCTTGCTAAGACAGCAAAACACACCTGCTTCCTCCCCACACAGGCACACACTGTAATGGTGTTGCTTTGGGCTGTGTTGCTGCAGTCCAAAGTTGGTGGGGTTTTTATCAGACCTCCCTTACTGGGTAACTTTCCTAAGCATCGCCATCACCCATATCTTGGTCAAGAGTGCTAGAAATAAGACTCAGTTGTGTTTTTGAAACACCAGAGAACTAAGTCTCCATGCAAGACAGTTGCATCCCTAAAGGTTTCTTGGCGTTTGTGAATGAAATGACTGGAGCAGTTCATACGGCAGCAGTCAGGTGGGCTTAAATTGATGTTGATAAATGCAGTTCAGGCTGAAGGAAGTGGGTAAAAAGCACCACCCATCCCCCTTTTGGAAAATGCTGTTTGGAAAAACGAGAGCTCTTTTCATATTCCCTGGGATAAGTCTGTGAGGCTGTAAGGTTTTACTGCAAATACTCATTTCATGGACCAGCTCTGCACACAGCTATTGGTTGGACCATTAATTTTCATAGGGACATCCCAGTTTCGATCCAGTAAAAATGTATATTGAGTTGTTCTTGGAATCTGTTTATGTCCTTACTGAATAACTCGCTGCTCAGATCCTGCCAGCTGCTAGCGACTGCCAGGTTATGAGAAGACCTGTCTGTCATGTGCTCTGCATGTCCATCCAGCCTCTCCCAATCAGCAACTCTTCCCCACTCTCCTGCCTACCTACTGTAATGTTCTCTCATTCAAGTTGCAATCTGTGGCAAGGCACATGTATAAAATATATTTCTAGAGGGGAAAAAAAGTCCACTTTTTTTTTAACCTCTCATTGTAAATCTAGCTTCACAGGTACCCATGATAACACCGAGGCTGACCAGGAGGAAAATTTCTGGTCTCAGGCTCTGGAGGATTTAGAGACCTGTGGCCAGTCAGGAATTCTGAGGGAACTAGAGGTAGAACAATCTTAACGTTTCTTTCCAATTATAGAGAAATATAATGGTTTGAGTTTGATTTACATTCATTTTATTTTCTTCTTTTTTTTTTCCTTTTTCTTTTAAGTTGCACTAATCACACTAATTCATTTAAAAGCTTTAACCCCTCTCCACAGGACAAGGCTGACAGGCGTCTGTGTTTGAGAAACATGACTCTCTTGGTACCTACCCTTTACCTTTATATTTTTGCTTGTGCAGCTGCCTCCCCCGCCCCTAACCAGAGCTGTTTTCTTTCGTACAACTCCACCAAAACTCTATAAACATGTTCACCCCAGAGCTTTTGACTTGCAGCTTCTGCTGTGCATCACCATTGATGCTGTCTGCACAGGCAGCAAATGGCGCAGAACTTCTGAAGTGGGCATAACCTTCTTGCAGCAATGCATCTCATTCTCCAACAGACGCTTTATGCAGCTTTTCTTAGCATGTTGTAGGTTGTCTTTTTGAATCGAAACTTAATTTGATTAAGACGAACATAAAAGAAAATCGCCTTCTCAAAATGTTTACCTATAGTATTGCTACTCTGCAGAAAAAGCTGCCAATGTGAGAAACGTTTGTTATACGATGATTTCTTGACTACGTACAATTCTTCACGTTTCGTCCTGAAGTTAATCACAAAACTAACTGTGCTTCATGTTAGACTGCAAGGGCAGAATAGGGGGAAGGGAACAGAGACAGAGTAACTTTGGGTCTTTCATTTTTCTAATCACCTTTTCTCTAAGTTGTCTAAGCAGAACAATTAAGATTATACTGCTACTTAAAGCTACAAAATGAAAGGTCCTAAAATATTTTCTTTTATGTTCTTTTAAATTCCTGGAGCTGCAAAACTGGCAGAATCTCATTTTCATTTTTATGTTATATGAAGTCCTTTAGCAGCCAGGAGGAATGTGAATGGCATAACTGGGTGAAAGTTTTTCAGCTCAGATTAATTTACTTCCTCAAATTTACGACTTTTGTATTGCACCTATGGGTAGCAAAATGTGATTCTCGTGTATTTGTTACTGCAAACCAGAGAAATGTAGGAGAAAATGTTACACTGGTTTAATTCCATAGATATGGTTCAGCACTGCAGGCTTCTCTTGCAATTTTCAATATCCAGAGCAGAAAAAAAAGATATGTGAATAGATAATACCAAAATGGAAATAGATCATTCATGCTGACCAGAATTCAGTTACTTGAACACGTTGAATTTTCCTCAGCCTTTCACAAAAGCAAAATTCAGAACTGCAGGTGCTGTGTCACTTATAGCATTGCCTTGTTGCGCAACCCACAGCTCTGAAAAGGAAGCAAGACTCGTTCAGTATGTCAGGATGCTGAGAAAGGCAATGCCTCTATTTTATGAAGTGCCTTTGCGAAGTCAAGGTCTCTTTATCGTTTTTCATTTCAAGGTCTTCAGCCAAAGAGCAAAGACTGTTGTTTGCCAAGTCGTCTGGATGCTTTTGCTCCATCAGGCAGCAATATCAGTCATTATTGAGCATAAGAGAGACTGTTAAGGCTACAATATATTATCTTTTAGGGAAAGTAGTGCTGGACCTGAGAGAAAGGATAGTGACAGACACAGCCAGAGTCAGAAGCAAATATTTATTTGCCTGTTTTCTCCTTATTTCCCCCGCCTTCATTTCTGCTTCTCATTTTGAAGCAGGCTGCCTTGCATCTTGTCCCAGTCAGAGTTCAGGTTATGGTCGTCTTTCAAGATTTCACCCTCCACATATTCTTGCATCCGACATAAAAGGCTGGCTTTGACCGAGATCAAAACCAGCACTCTTTCAGAGGCTTATATCTCTGAAGTATTAGTGCAAAGCTGAGACAGTTCCTCTTGGAATATGCATGTTATGCAAAGTTTCTTTCCAGGCAGCAGTGAGCTTACCTGCACTGAGATTTCCCCAGCCTGGGATGGTATCCAGGAACACTCTTTGCCGGTGCTGACTCTAAAGCTGCCAACCTATTCTGCTGACTCACTTTTTTTTTTTTTTTAACCTAGTCTGAATTGTAAATGCCTTCCTATAGCTCCAATTCCAACAAACGCAATTATGCCGCAACTTTTACAAGTCATTTTATTTATGTGGTAAAATATTTTTGAAATAAGCAATTATACTACACACTCTTCGGTCTGCCAGGGGACTAGCTTACAAGCACAGCCATTCTAGTGCTCAGTATTTTAGTTTGAAATGCCGTCTGAAAACTTTTGCCCATAGGGTTCTGTTATTGTCGTTGTGTTTTGTTGTGGTCCTTTATTTTAGAGTGACTTGCAAGCAGATTGAACATCTATCCTCTTGCCTTTTGCTATGCCCTGAGTGATTGTGTTCTAACAAAGAATAGAGATGTTTTTCCTGCTGCGATGAATTAATCACTTACTGCTTAACCACCATTCTCTGTTAAAAATTAACCTGTTCATTAATGCTCTAGGCCACAATTATGTCAGGAAGTACAATGAGTTTGAATCAGGAAAACCCACAACCTCGTAACCAGCTGGGAAGACAAGCCAGCTTCCAGGAAAGAAGTACTGTAAGGCCACATTACAGTCAAGCCACTCGTAGCAACACCTTGCCATCAGATGTGGGGAGAAAGTCCATGGTTCTGAGAAAATTTAAGCAAGAAATGAAGGAAATCATGTCACCAACTCCCGTGGAGTTACACAAGGTCTGTAATTTTTCTTCTGACAGCTTCAAAATAATATATTCAGTGTATGGAATCTAATTATATGGCAATACAGTAAGCATTTTTTGTAATGACTCCACCGTTATAATTTGGGGGCTGTGCATATTAGTTCTTACAAACACATAAATGATATATCCTTGTGGGGGAAACAAACAAATAAGATGCATCCTTGTCTAAAATTTCATTTTCCAATAAATCCTCAAAAGGGACTGCTCTTTTACAAGGAGGATCCACTGGTAATTTGAATTGACAATACCAATAACTCATCTCTGCAAAATGTGTTCATTAAGAAAGCAAAATTTAATTTCTAGAAAATACATTTCTTTAGGAAATCACTCAGGAGAGTTTGGGGCTCCCATTGGTCTTTTTCCAAATTAACACTCATTTTGAATCAAATACATGAGACCTGATGTACATAATATAGAATGTTATTTGAAATTAGCTATTGCTTCTCTTCTCAATTCATTGCCTGTAAAAAAAAGATAAACAATCTCCAGTCTGTGCAACTTCTCACTGCTCAGGGCTGTTGAAATCACATGGTGATACAAAGGTGCCTCTGCACCCCAAGGAAGTACTGCAGAAAGTATCTTTAGATATGCAGAGTGAACACTCCACCAGCTTAGGTCTCAGGTCCAGTGAGGCAATAACAGTAACCAGTTTCCAGAACTTTGGAGGACACTGTAATGCTGTTCTCATTGTCGGAACTGAGCCTCTCATCTCCTCCCTGCACCACCCTCTTAAAGGTCCAAGGATCTTCCCAGAGAGCAGGCAGAAGCATGGAAAAATTTTGTTAAGATGTCATATGTTGTCCTTCTCAAGAGAGTCGGTTTGGTTTCCAGACCCCGTGGGTTTGACTGAGTTTGGTTTGTGGTTCATTCAGTTTAGATGAGTAAGGATTCACTGAGGATGGACTAAATGAGTGTTTGTAGAAGGCAGCAGAGAGTGGATCTCATATGCAAAAAATGAATCCTTTGCCAGCATAAACGATCAATAGGATGTGTTGTGATAGTTTTAAGCTATTTGTATTTCCAGCTTGATGGGAGGCAATTAATGGAGTAAGTTACGGTGCTGAGTTTTCCTGAGTGGCAAGTAAATTTGAGATATAAAACAAAACTACGCCAGTAGGCATTTCATGGCATGCTCACATTCAGCAATGGCACAGTTTTCAGCTGTGGATTATAAAATCACTCTTCCATGATTGATAAAATAAATCTTTTCCTGGAAAGGAGGAGCCAGATTTCTATTAATGAGTTAGTATTCTGTGATAGCTGCTAGTTCTTGAGAGTCCTGGGCAGTAAAAAGTACCCTGTCATTGAGCCTTCTCTCTCTTCAGTTCTCTGTTTTTTAAGATTGCTGTGACCTTCTGGCTTAGTAATTTCCAGGTTTTGTTCAGACAATATACCCAGTTTTCTCCTGTCTGTTCAAGTGATACTGAGTTTTCTTGTTCTGTCATCTAGAAAGAGTCACTTCCGTTCTAAAAAACTAAAAGTTGATCCTGCATCAAGGATTTTCCAGATCCTTATAGCTGTCGAAGTTAAAATGGAACCAGTGACCATATCTTACAATCTCAGTCACCAAAGTGGGCTTGTGCCCCTTTGATCACTCATGTGGGTTAACCCAAGCATCATGGGCTAATTTTGTATTCGTGCCTGTCTTCGCAAGCTCTTATTTTGTAGTCTTCTTACTGGTTCTTGTGTGTCAAATCTCTCCTTCCTTTTCATATTCAACCTCTAGTTTAACAGTAACAACCTGTTCAGTTGCTGTTTCTCATGGACAGCTTGTCCAATGATAGTCTTTCAGAAGAGCTGCAATGCCACAGGAATGACTTAACTGTCAGAGAAATGCTCGACTCAAGTATTTTTTGTTAACAGATCTTACTGGCAAATATGCTCTGCCCTCTGCAGGCAAATGTCTTAATCAGAAATGTCTTTCACTGATGGGACAACCAGTGAACTAAGAGCTGGTTTTGAAAACTGTGATGGTATAAACAGTCTTCGAAGTAAAAGCTAAGACATAGTTTGCCTAAGACTTGCCTCAGCAAGATTTTCAAGCATGTATTTGGCTGCATGCTGCTGAGTTTTCCCAGTTATTTCGGCAGGATGGGGCAGGTGCGTGTTTGCTCTCTCAGTGTGTCTCAGTGAGCCTGCCAGCTGAGGGCCAACGTGCGCTATAGATCAGAGTTCATACCTTGAGTTTGATTGCAGAAAGTGACACAGTTACGGTCAATGCACCACTGGCTTTTCATAATCTGATTGTGAGAGAGCGAGAATATGTGATTGGACCCCCAGAAAAGCCATACATAGAAATTAAATGCGTCGGTAGCCAGTCTGACTGTATAAGGTAAGAGAGAATAAGACTAGACAAAAACTGCTCAGGCTCCAAAGACAAACCGGGAACAACATGGTGAGCAGATGACATTACTGGCTTGTCCTTCTCAGATATACACCTGTCAAAGGTAACACAGCCCTGGGGATTATTTTGTTGAATGCTGCAAACTTTGCAGCAGGTTAACCTGAATAGTTCACTGCTCCTTCTCACTTCACTGTGTTACAGCCACCAAACATGTACTCGAACCGTCTTTGTCCTGAGGTAACTACTGTACGAATCTCTTAAAACATTTGTTCTAGGTAGTTTAATAAGTAAAATTTAATTTAACTTGATAGCACATTGCTATGTCAGTACCTAAATTTAATTAATGCCTTTTAATTGATTTAATCTACCTAGGTAAGCATATAGACTAATATTTTTCTAAAAATCATAGCGGACCATTTTTTTAAAGTTTCATAGAGCTCGTATTCCTCTAAGAGCAAAAATATGCACTAGACTTCGGATAATTTTTCAATATTATTATTATTGCAAGTAGTCATTAACCTAAAATTACAGTCAGTAGCTGATCTGTGCAAGATGTATGAATTTAAATAAAGCATTTTCCCATAAATTTGAGAGGGAAGAGAGGCACAGAATCAGACTCAAAACTTGCAAGTCTCTGTTTAAAATTTCTAACTATTTAATTGCTTATGAAATATGAATAAAATTTCCATTTTGGCTTTATTTTTCCCTCAGGCTCCTGATGTAAATTTAAAAGTCTAACAAATTGCCCATGATGGAGAATTTGCTGTTGAGATCAAACCTTCCAAACAGTTGTGATCAGGAGTGCAGATAAAGAAGCATGATTTAGGTGTTGCATGAATTGTCTGCAGTCTCATACCCTTCAGACAGGGCTACTGGCAAGTGAAGATGAGAAAACAAGGTGGTAAGGCTTTGACCCTACCCGTTATTAAATAAAAATCTGGGTGTTTCAGATAGCAGAGTTTACTTTGAGATTCCTTTTCAAGAATACATGCTGCCCTGAAAAGAAATAGCCCCAAATTTGTAACCTATAGTACAAAAAAAGCAGATGACTTCCACCTAAAAAATTGACAGCTTTCAAACATGTAACAAAATTAAATTGCAGCCTCATCCCCTAAGTGAGTTAGTATCAGTTTCTTTAATTTCTGAGCTCCTGTTAAATAAACCAAAATGTCAAGAGAAGATAGACAGCCGTAAGGAAAACAGGTTTTTAAAATATTTTAAGGTACGTAGATCTAAGGAGAAATGAGAAAACACTTCCATCCATAAACGGATTGCAGGATAATGACTAATTCTCTCTCAGAGACCTGGGCCATATAAATCAGGAAAGTCCAACCTGGACAACAAGGCAGGCAATGAAAGACTTGGGATGATGATTCTCAGGTCCTGCAGCCCTCCATGCGTCACTGTTCCACCTCTGCAGCAAAACTCCTCTTCCATGGCCCTTATCGCTTGCAATGCTCCATTTTTTGACTCACAAGCTGGGCACTGTGTAGTGTGTGCGTTCCCTGGGCAGTTATTAGAGACAAGACACAGGATAAGGTGAGCAAATGTGGGCTGGCACTTCCTATAGATCCGTAGAACAGGATTTGTATGTGTTTTGTTTGCTCATAGACCACTCACTAAAAATAGGGAAAAAGCAACACTGTCCTAGACTATACAAATGGAACCACCATCTATACTACACACAGAATTATTCTCCACTTTAGTTTGGCTTTGATAAAGTCTTGACTGTAAAAGAATATCCAGTTTGGGGTCTGAAAATCGAAGAAGGGTGCTAACCCACTGAACAGAGCCCAGAGAGAAACAATCCTTGTTTCACATTGCTGTAGAGAAGGAGAGGATAAAGTGATCTTGTTCTCTGTAGCAGCAGCTTAACTCTCTGCAAGGGCAATTTAGTTTAGACTGAAGGAGAACATCTGAAGCATAGGAGGGGATTATTTTAATAGACGGTGGAGCCTCCACCACTGCAGATTTTAAAAAACAGGCCAGATACATGTCTCTCAGAAATGGGTTAGATGCAGCTGATCCTGCCTTAGGGGAAGAATAAAAACTAGATGACTTCAGAGAGTCCAATTTCACGTTTTTGTAGTTCATGTGAGGTTGCATCCAGCTCCACTTAACTCCAGTATCTGAAGGAAGACAAACGGGGGAAAAGAAAAAGTGAAAAATGAAGATGTTCCTTTTAAAAATTGTGCCGTCTGTGCTAGAACAATGCATAGTATTTTAAGTAAGTCTTCTCCTTCTAGGCACTTTATCCCATTTTTACATTTACTTTTCAAGCATTCCTATCCTCTGTGACGGTATGGAAAAAAGTTACCTTGTGCAAAGAACATTTGTGTCTTGGTCCAGTGCTAATTATTTTTCATTCTTGCCAGGAAATACACACATTGGTCAATAAAATAGATCTCCCTCCGTTATTAACTTCTTCAGTCTTGCTAGAATGGTAGTCCTACAGCACTTCCATAGCAGCTTCAAACGTGCTTCAGGTTGAAGCCATGTTAGCTACGCTCTGATATCACAAACAAAAGCCTCTGTCAATAACAAATTATTAGAAGTTTCCCAGAGTCCTGCTGGTACAGCAGCTATTGATACAAATTAAAATCATGATGAGGTTAATTATTTTGAATTCAAAGATGGGTTTTTCAGTAGCTAACATGCCCCTTGACTCCTAAAATTCACACTGAGGTGGAGAGAAGTATGACAGGTTCAGCCACAACTTGTTTTGGGGGAAGATGGGCAAAGAGAAGACAAACAGCTTAAACACAGCAGCCCCTGGGAAATGTAAAATCACAGCTCATACCCAAATAAGAGAAACAGTCACTGGCAGGGAGAAAGCCTTCGGCTTAGCTAACGGGCCATTAGGGCTGGCTTTCTGTGTTGCTGTACTGGACAGATGGAGAAAAACATGGGAGGAGGATGAACTGGTGTAAAGTGAGGGATTTGCACTTACCATGGCATGAGAGATGTTTTTGCAGCAGCCCAGTGATGCATGGTCCGTGTCTGCGGATGAAACAGTGCTAAGACTGCAGCAGCCGGTGTCCTAGCTTACTTCTCTGAGCTGTTGCTGCCAAACTTACTAGTGAGTTTTTTCATTCTGGTTAAAGCACTTTTGCTATTCCACTAAAGCCAAGTAAATTCAGGAAAATGGCAGCAACTGGGAAAAAAAAAAAAAAGAAACACCCAACTATCTGTGCTCTTCATTGATATGACCAAATACTTCACTCCTGTTCTGAGACAACCTTGTGTGTTCTTGCCTACCTCTTCACAATGTCAGTTAAGGCAGGATCTCAGGAGCTTTCCGATGGCAGCACCAACAAAGGGTGGTGCCCGGCAGTGCTGTGCCTTGGCATTCTTCTATGAAATACTGACCAAGCCCTCAGCTGCCTGATCTGAATTCGGTCTTGGCCCTGCCTTGAGCAGGAGGTTGGACTAGAGACTTCCTAAAGTCTCCACCAATTTGAATTATTCTGTAATTTAGAAACACCAGGCAGAAATTCAGTGGCTGGCACACAGGAGGATTCAGCACATGAAGCGTTACTGGCACCAAGCCATTATAAAATTACAGAGCTCTCTAAATGTTGTCACTTTATCAGTTCAAGACATAGTTTTGAACCAGTCATTTAAACCCAAAGTGACATAAGCTGTAGCAGTAAAAGCACAGTTTTGACTGCGTGACTGTATCTGCACGCACGTTTTGTATCAGTGTCAGTCAGATGTCATACTATTGACTCACACAATTCACTTGCGTAGGTCTACACTCCTGATGTGAGGGAAAAGCAATAAAGAAAAAAACAATTTGTAGCAATAAAAACCTAAACGTACCACAAAGACATCTCTGAATCCTTTTCTATCGACTAAGTGAATTCACAAAGTTACCTGTAAGGGCTCGATCTCTTGAATACCTGAGAAGCCTTCTCCTAGCAGCTTTATTAAGTTCTGTTTCCTGCTTTTGAATGACAATCTCTTGGCCATGTAACCGTAAGAACACCCTGCATGCTCTTTCTGGAGGAGCCTTATTTGTATTTCTTAAAAAGACTGCGTTAGAACTCTTATACTGAGCACCAGGCTGGCTGCAGCTGAAGGTTCTGGTGGTATTTACGCCCTATGGAAAACCTGCAAGATACAACACCAGTTGTTTGGTTGAGGCGAGGTCCTGACCTGTGAAGCAAAGCTAAACTTGATCTTGTATTCAGATCCTGGCAACTAGGAAACAAGGTAGCAATAAATCAAATCTCAAAACACACCACAACAGGTGGGAATAAAAAGCACAAATTTCTAGCTAAAAGGGCTGTTTATCACTGAAGAATAATGCGGCTTCTAAGAATATTAATATAATTTCAAAATAGAGACCGTCACAATACTGTAACTAGTTAAGTGAGCTCGCTAATGTAAAAAAAAAAACAATACACAACCCACCAAGCACAAAAAAACAAAACACACGAGGAAGAAAGCCTACCTAGTGCTTGTAGCACTGTGGACAAACTTTATTTGTTTGTTTTTTCCTGATCCTGTCATATCACGTCACCTCCACAGGTAACTTTGTACAAGGACTCTGATGGAGACGACTTTGGGTTCAGTGTCTCAGATGGTTTACTGGAAAAAGGCGTGTATGTTAAAAATATTCGACCAGCTGGCCCTGGCGATCTGGGAGGTTTAAAACCCTACGACAGACTTTTACAGGTAAGGCTTCTGGCCCCACACAGGTTTAGCATGCTCACTGGGAAGCTGGAATTTCCCAAGGCATTTCCAGACTTGTAATTTTTGCTGTTCTTGGTACAGACTTGAGAACTGTTATGTGCTTAATCCAAGCTGCTGACTGACAGACTTGTAGTAATGTAATACTGACCATGGCACTACCGACAATGCCACGTTGGACTGTGATGTTAAAAAAACAATTTTCTGTCAACTAGTCTAATAAAATACTTTATATATTAATTAAAATCAGAGAAGAGCCGAACTGAACTTTTGGATGTGATCTGTTGTATTTAAACTAACGAACACAGTGAAAGAGAGAAAAACTGTGTGCTGTTAAATTTCATTTATGGAGTGGGCACTGTGACAGCTGCCAACATCTGTCACCAGTGTAAATATGCCCACTTTAGCTACATTCTGCTAATACTTAACTGGTGTCCTCAGTCCAGACACCATCGTTAAATAGTCTTGTATAGACAAATTCTGTACTGCGACTATTTAAAACCAGTTCCACAGGCTCGAGGATGAATCTGTTTCTTGTGTGATCTCATTTCTTTTTCCTAAAACGATAACAAAAATCAATCTTCTGATCATTCAGGTAAACCACGTTCGCACCAGGGACTTTGACTGCTGTCTCGTTGTGCCCCTCATAGCGGAATCTGGCAACAAGCTGGAACTGGTGATTAGCAGAAATCCGCTGGCATCTCAGAAAGGAAACTTGGAACAGACTCCAGCAAGCGGAGAGTGGAACGATCAGAATAACGCCTTCCTTCAACACAGCGGACACACTAATGTTAATACAGAGACACGGGATCCTACAAATACATTATAGCAGAAAATCGTTTTAGTAGGACTTTTGGTAATGAAAGAAAATTATGGTGCTAAATCCCTTTAAGATTTCTCTGAGGTTGAGGCTCGGATGCTAAGTAACAGTAAAAAGCACAGGAGGTCAGTCTGTCTGTCTCAAGGCTTCTGTTAATTCATGGTTACTTTTGAAAAGGTTTAATTCTTCATTAAGTCAAGTCATTCCATTCTAAACAGTCTAGCATTAGCAACAGTATGAAAAGTTGTATGGGCCTTCCCCCCCACAAATAAGAAACTGGGGAGATATTTTAAATGTGATTTAAATGTTCCTCTCCCTACATCGGCAGCTGCTGTTTGAGGGAAAAGCATGGAGTTAACCTCTGCCAACAGTGGTGTCCACGTCGTGGTTGGTCTGTTTTAAAACATTTTATCATAAAGGAGCTGTCTGATGGACCAGGCAGTCCTGCACTGAGTTTTCTTGTTGGCTGCATGGGTAATTCTGGGGGATCTTTATTCTGCTGACAAGAAGGATGCGTTCTACAGATAGAGCAGTGTGGATGTTTTAACAAAAGCCGTGTAGGAAGCTGCAGTATGCGGTGAACCTGACTCCCCCACTCTGGTAAATTCCATTAGAACCCATGTTATTCCCTATGCAATGAAATATTTAACAGTATGTCTTGCGACCTGTGGGGATTTTTAAGCAGAGACTTTGTTAATGTTAGTAATCTTCCTCTGGAAGAAGATTACTGACAGGAGTACAACTGAAAGGAGCTCAGACAAATTAGAAAGGCTTTTAAAGGAAAATGGCTTTTTTAAAACTATGTCAGTGGAAGATCGGTACAAAAGGTCTTCAACGATCCATAAATCTGTAAACTTGTACTGTCACACCTGAGCTTTTTATGTCAAACAATTTCTTGAAGGAACAAAAGTTCCATTTACTATGCTTTGTTTTCAGCCTTCTTTATGAGAAACATTACCCCCTGCGACACGTTTTTAGAACTTAATATTGTAAATATATTTTACAAACACATCACACGAATTCTCTCCTCTGCCCCCAAGCAATAAAATACTGCCAGTTGCTTTATAGGCTCACCAGCAGCTGCTTTGGTTCATTCCGGTATTCAAGTTGTTATTGGTAATTCTTGTTATTGGTGAATATAAAGATACTGGATTTGTACATTTGTAGAGTCTCCATATTTAAGCAATCACCTTAAGGAGTTGTTGCTGGTCAATTTAAACTGTTTAACTGTATTCCTGTTGCTGTTTCCAATACATGAACAAGCTCACCTGCCCTGCACACACAAGTAGCTCTGATTTCTATTTCAGCACTGCCAGAAAAGGTCAGAATGACATTCAAAGCTGAATCATAAAAAAAAAGTTAAAAAAAAGTTCATGAGTCACTTAAATATGTATTTTTATTTGTAACAAATTAAGTATTAAACTGTAAAGTATTTTTGTACAAATTTAATACTTTAATAGCATGATATTTATCGTCTATGTTATGGTTTTTTTGAAATTTAAGCTGTTGCAAATATTTGTATGGAAAAACTGTATAAATTGAAATAAACAGTGATTTAAAGACATGAAAAATGAGAGCATTTTCCTACTTTATAATTTTTTACAAAAAATAGCATGTTTGTATTTGAACGTCTAAGTTCATTCTCACCAAAACAAAAGAATGACACAATTTTTTTGACAGCTGGCACACACCAAGGATCACTCAAAGTATAAAAAGGCTTACTTTAAAACATGCTGTTCTTCATAGAACATGCAAATACAGGAAAGCCTTTGAAAATCATCTGCATACCCAGCCTCTCTGTTTCAAAAAGTCTTGAGCAAAACAGGTTCAAGAAGGGTTCATAGCGAGGAGAGTTAATTGTTTGCTAGCTTTTGAAAAGCTTCCTAGGAATTGGTTCTCCCAAAGTTAGGTTCTTAAGTCTGGAAGACCCAAGTGGAGAATCCTGTGCCTGTGAAAACAGAACAAAAATGTTTGATATCAGAGTTTGAACCAGAACTAAAATACAGTAACGTATTCAAAAAAACCACAAACAAACAAAAAAACCCCACTGTTTCTGCATGGCAGAGCTCAGAAATCAGATATAATTTAAAAAAGCATCTGTTAAGCATGTTTGAGTGTATAAAAGTCAACTTCAATGATTACATTTTATATAAACCTTTCACAGCAGGTCAGCTCCTAAGTCCTGACCTGCTGACAAAGATTAGGCTATTACAGGCTAAGCTAGCCAATGCATCACTCTCAGGAGTACCAAGCTGTATTAACTTACTGCTGTTGACATTACAACTTATTTTTCCCTATTGGTTATATATTACTCTGGGAAAACTCCTGCCCAACTTGACTGCTTCACCAATTAATGATCATCTTGCAAATTCTTAAACAAGTAATGATAAAACAACGATAACAGTATCTGGGTGACTTGTGGTGCAAGAAGTTGGTTTTGAACCATCTCAGTAAGGGGATACTTACAGTGGGTTTTTTCATAGCATCCCCATCACTCTCTGCAAGGGTTTGTTGTCTTTTATGTGGACTCTGTTTCAAACTGCCCATCTGCTCTTTATTGAGAATTGCTGACCGTTCCTGTTTAATGCAGTCAGGGAGAGGTTCAGCTGGGTCATGAGCACCTTGAGTTACAGAAACTGGCCGAGTCTCAAGCTCTTGACTTTGCCAGCTCTTCGCCAGAGGAGAAGAAGGTTGTTCGGGACACTTGCTTGTTTGTGCAATTGCCTCTCTCAAAAATCTCTGTAAGCGAGTTTTTCTGGGCACGCTCTTGTTAGTGACTGCTCTCCTGAGGTGCGGCTCTTCAGCTATAACATAGACACGGCAGCGTCCTCTAGTCACGGCTGTGTACACGTGCTGCCAATGCTGACGGCCAGGACTGCCAACCACGTAGACAACAGTATTTTCCTCAGAACCCTGAAACATGTTTAAGAACGCCTTATCAAAATAAGATCTCCCAGTAAGTA